TTGCTGGATAGAATGGGAGAAGAAGAGAGAGAATTTTTAGTTACAGTGTTTTCCTTACTAGCTTTCATACAGTAAACCAGAAGAAAACTTTACTTTGCAGATTTTATTTTATTCACAGTTGAAAACTGTAAAAGTTGATATATTGAATAGTCAGTAAAACTATGTATAAGCTGCCATTTATCAAAGGCTTATCTGTTCATGGTCAGGACAATGGCAGGAGCCTTATCAAACTTCCTGTGTTTGTACTGATCAATAAGGTCTCATGACCTGAAAGTTACACTCCTGAAAGGTGCAGTATTAAATAAAAAACTGACATCTCAGATTGGCTTTCATGCCCAATCAAAAATGTAACAATCCAACTTTTAAATCCTTTAGTATTTATGTATTTCTCCTCTATTTTTGAGATTTTGGGGCCATCATAACAAGTTTGCAAAACCATTGCCGTATGTAACTGTCCTCATTTTAGATGGTTCTGTCCATATTTCTAGTTGGAGAGACCAGAAGATATAGAGTTGTGAAAATCATGGCTAACCCAGCCATAACTTTATTAAAATAGCACACATTAACGGTGAAAGTAAACATGTCTTTATAAGGGAAGGAGCAACAGCATCAGATATGTCACTAGCCCACAAATTGCAATGCTCCAGAGAGGCTCCAGGGTGCGTGAATTGCAATTACATGCTATGGTGTCATCAGCAAGCACCAGCTGGGGATTGGAAATTGATCTCTATCTCATCCCCACACTGGCTTCAGTTACTCCTTCCCCATAGCTTACCTATAGTGTCTTTATAAGGGAAGGAGCAACAGCATCAGATATGTCACTAGCCCACAAATTGCAATGCTCCAGAGAGGCTCCAGGGTGCGTGAATTGCAATTACATGCTATGGTGTCATCAGCAAGCACCAGCTGGGGATTGGAAATTGATCTCTATCTCATCCCCACACTGGCTTCAGTTACTCCTTCCCCATAGCTTACCTATAGGACAGTTAAGCTTCATGAGCGGGTCAATGAAATGTACCAGCTGATCATTTCTAAGCATCTTAAAGTGTTTCATTGTGGAATTTATTCTATAGTTCACTAAGAGGCAGGGAAAAGATAGCGTTAATAATCTTTGTAAGCCCGAAGAGGTGGGGATATCTTCCAAAAAAAACCTATCCTTTATTCTTATAAGTAAGATAAGAAAGATGTAAAATGCATGAAATATATCTGTGTATGTATACATTTTTAAATAAAGTATTTATTATATAAACAGTGCCAACTGGAAGAAGCCATATGAGGTTAGTAATTGTGGGAAGTTTGTTACTTACTTCATAAAGCAAATTATGACAAGAATTTATTAAGTCTTTATAAAGTTTTGGTGCACCAAGATAGGAGGGTTACAATATTGTTTTATTCTGGTAATTAATTTAAGAGGTCTGTTTATTAGAACTCTCATCAGGAAGGAAACAATAGTCTGACCCTTTTTTATGAAATAGCATTAAAAAGTGTGTGCACTTCAAAATGCAGAGGAGACAGAAATTAAAAGCTTAAATAACTGCAAACAGCAGGGTTCATCAGTAATGGAAGTTTTTCTTAAATGACTTTGACAGCTTTTGCAGGTGCACATACTATGTCACATTATCTAGTGGAGCTTTGAAAAAGATTTATGGCTTTCCTTTTGGATTTTATTAAGAGGTTTTTTTCTTTTTTGCAAAGCAGTCTGGACATACTCCTCCTTCCTAAGTCATTTCTATTGCAAGTCCAAGGGGAAAGTAATCTGTTCAAAACCATATGTTGCATATTGTCTCTGTGGCTATTTCATGGTGCCTTAAATGATTGTGACGGTGCTTGTTTAGTCATGGAAATGTGCCTGTAGTATTTTTCTTTCCTTTAAGACTTTTAATCAGCATTTTAAATTGTTTTATGTAAGTCTCATTTTATTTATGTTGACATTCACCGTTTGGATTAAAACATTTTTTTCTTCCTATAAAATTTCAGTTGACAACAAAAATCCATCTCCACAGAGTGAAAATCAAGGGGAAAGGAGGAAATGTCTCTTCTATTTTTATTTATTTCATTAGCATATGTTCCATCATTTTCTGATTTGTGTACTATGCTATGGCTGCTGGTATCTGCACTAATACTAATGTGCAGAGTATTGGCAAACTTTAAATACTTTCAGAAGACCTCTCAAAGGAACCCAGGCACGGGTAACTGCTATGTCCTATGACATTTACCAGTTCTAATCACTTTATTCAGTTCCTGTTTCCCAAATACATGTGTTTTAATCTGACACATTCACTCTTTGAAACAATATTTAATGTTTAAAAGTCTATATTTAATGTTTGTTTCTAGGAGCCAGTCAGTGTAATCCCATGGGATTTTATTCTGTTGACAGCTGAGTGCCACTGCTGCTAGTCATAAGGAGGATATTTTTCAAAAGAGTTTCTTTAGCATTAGTTGTAGATGAGTCAGCAGTGCACTGTTTCATTAGATACTGACTGTACAGTATTCTGTTCCATGCTCAAATACTGGTTCCGTTGTAAAAGTTATTTTCCTGATTTCTCCTTTAAAAATAGAAAGCCCAGTAATAATGGGCTATCCTATATTGATTGAGTACATGTCACCTCACAACAGGATGCAGAGATAAAATATCAACATCATTTATGCTTCTTGGAACAACTAGACCTGGAACCCACAAGGGTAGAGGCGATTCTTGATTTAGAACTAAATTGAACACGGGCCTGGTCCAGATTGTGAATGAAGTTGAACTGTTCAGTCCAGTGACCATAATATAATTACATTTAACATCCATGGTGAGGGAAAATACCAACCAAAGAAGCCCACTACTGCAGCATTTAATTTGAGAAAGGGAATGACAAAAAAATGAGGAAGCTAGTTAAACGGAAATTACAACAAGAAGTTGCAAGAGTGAAATGCCTTCAAGCTGCATAGAAAGTTTTAAAGAGCACCATAACAGAGCCTCAAATTAAATGTATTCTCTCAGATTAAAAAAAAATAGTAAGGCCCAAAAATGCTACTATGGGTAAATAAACAAAGGTGCTACAAACAAAAAGGCATCCTGCAAAAATTGGAAGTCAAATCCTACTGAGGAAATTAGAAAGGAATATAAATCCTGGCACATGAAGAGTAAAAGTATAATTAGGCAGGCCAAAAAAGAACTTAGAAAAACTAGCAAAAAACTAACAGCAATTTTTTGAAGTACACCAGAGGTAGGAAACCTGCTAAACCAGTGGTCCCTAACACGGTGCCTGCGGGTGCCATGGCGCCCGCCAGGGCATTTATGTGTGCCCGCCGAGTGACCAGGGCCAGCCCAAGCCATTCTTGAGGCGAATGCGCAACCCCCGCCCAGGGCGCGCGGTGCATGCGTGGTGCCGCCCCGGGTGTGTAGTGTATGTGCGGTGCTGCCCCCAGGTGCGCGGCGCATGTGCAGCGCCGCCCCAGGCCGCATGGCACATGCATGACCCCGCCCCTCAGTGCCCAGCAGCCCCAAAAGGATGGGGACCAATGCAGCTAAACAATCAGTGGGGCTGCTAGATAATCAAGATGCTAAAGGAGCATTCAAGGTAGACATTCGTGGTAGGTCCCTCGAAGGCTGTTAGCTGAGATGGGCAAAGATGCAACCTCTTGCTCTGGGTGAGCCTCTTTTTGCCAGAAGCTGGGACTAAGGATGGGATGGATCTCTTGAAGAGTGCCCTGTTCTGTCCATTCCCTTTGAAGCATCCAGCATTGGCCACTGTTTGGAGACAGGATAATGAGCTAACTGATCCATTGGTCAGACCCAGTATGGCCAAATGTTCTTATCAACTGGCATTTGCTGTAAGTCATTAAGGGTCATATGTTTCTTCTCTGTAGTATATGAGTGCAGAAAGGACTAAGATCCATGAAAAAGTACTACAGAATTTAGTTATATACATTAAAACATTACTTGTCATTCAGTCTTGAAGAAAAACATATTTGTGGTTATCTATAATGCATATACCTAGAGACACTAATGCAAAAGTAGTAGTATTGTACAGACTATGTTGGAGGTTATGCAGAACAGTGTGAGGGGATGTTCATCTGTGCTAAAATGCGTAGTAAAATTTTTAGTGGATTTTTCCAAGCAGTTTGAGATTAAGGCCACATTTTCTCACCATTGGGGACTCAGTGTAAGCTTAGGTATTTGCTCAATCTTCTGCCATGATGGTGTGTGGATTTCTGTCAGTAGCACATCTCTGTAGTAGTTAGTGGGCAGTTTTGTTTTGTTTTGTTTTGTTTTTAAGTTCGCTAAGATAGCTGCTTTGACATAGCACACATTTCGTCATGGTCGGTTTCCTCATATCTGAAGATCTTTTCTGTGGTTCTTCTGCATATGTTAATGGTTGTGTTTTAAAGGTATGTTGCATAACACATATTAATAGAATTTTGATGCAGATTTCATAATCAATTTCTGTACTTTCTGATATACAAGCCACTAAAATTTCTGTCCCAAAGCTTTTATTAAGGGAGTTAAGACATTTGTTCAAGTAGAGTAAAAACTCTCCAACAAAATTCTGCATTCTACTTGGTAAAGAAGGTATCAAAAGTCTCATGCGTCATTATTCCAGAAATCACTTAATTTCTGATATACAGTGGACCACTTAAATTTTAGAATTTCACACAAGTACGTGTCTGAAGACATTACTTTTTTTGATGATGCTTGCAAAAAAATAGTGCATCTTCTTCATCTTCAGTGGTGTTAAGGCTTTACGTGTATTATTAGGTTATCAGTGGCTATAAAGAAAGGTGCATTGATTTATTTGCTCTTCTGTTGGTGATCTTTGATTTCTTCTGATTTTCCTATTAGAATTCCTAAAGGATCTCCCTTTCATACTGCTCCCTAACAAGGGTTCAGTTCTGCTAAGCATTCAGAGCTTCTCTCATTGAAATAAATGAGTAGCGGTGCAAGCAAATCCCAAATGAACAGTGATCCAAAAACCAAGAAAATAAAATTCACAGTGTTATTTTTTCCTCTCCAGACACGTTTCAATCAACACCTCTCCAATGTCAGTAATCATGATTTGGTCCTGGATGATGACGATGATGATGAAATGGACAGAAGAAGCAAGTAAGCGCTTGTGTGTGTGTGTGTGTGAGAGAGAGAGAGATTCTCTCTCTTTCTCTTTCTCTTTCTCTCTCTATGTGGGTGTGTCCCACAAATGGATTTTTTAATTGCCTGGGTTCGTGAGAGTGCCTATTTTTCCAATGTGACTCCTGACTCCAAATTTGTTAAATATTTTAGTGTCTGATATAGAAACTAAAACTTTTAGTAAAAAATGGGGCAGAATATTATAATTTAAATATCAATTTATTATTTACATTACTATAGCATTAAGGAGCCCTAGTCAAGGAGTAGGACCACTTTGGGCCTGGTGTTTACACAATAAAAAAGATAGTTCCCTGTCCCAAAGGGCTTATATCTACATACAAGATGGCAACACTGATTCAAACCAACTGATGAGGTAGTACAAGGGAATAATGCATTTGGTCAGCATGGAAGTCAGTGATCTTAGCACACCAAGTCTTTTGAAGACAGCACAGCAAAGGAGAGCTTTTAGGAAAGATTTGAAGTAATATTACAAGTTAGCTTGTGTATTTATAGGTGTATATATTTTTATAGGCAATTTATGAAAGGTGTATGGAAAATAAACAGGAAAAACTGGAAGTATTACACAATAAATTAAATTATGACTTATCTGGCGTAACAGTTACTTGATAGGATAAATATCCTGACTTGCATATGGGTATCAAAGGGGATAGCTTCTGGGAAAGTGACAGGCAGGAAAAAAAAGGGAGAAAGTGTGACATTAAACATCAAGAATATATACACTTTTTCTGGGGTACAGAAAGACATAATAGGCAAACCAGCTGAAAACTTCTGGGTGAAGATAATATGGGAAAAACTGGGCAATGTGGTGGTTAATGGTCTACTATAGATTATCAAATCAGGAGGAGGAGTGGATAAGGGATTTTTAAAACAAATAACAGAACTTCTTGTTTTGCTGTAGTAATGGGCAGAATTAACTACCCACATACTTTTTGGACAAATAACATGGTAAAACACAAAATGAGCAATATCAGCAATAAAGTTTTGGAATTATTGGGAATTGTTTTAGAATGTGAAGAAAGTAATGGGGTACAGCCATTTGAAACTTGATTCTAAAGGAGGAATTGATTGCAAATCTGAAGGTTGAAGGCAGTTTGAGTGAAATTGAAGTGATGGACTAAAAGCAGTAGATAAGGACAGTGGACCTCAAAAAAAAGCAGAATTTAATAAGCTCAGGGAACTCATAGGCAAGTTCCATAGGATTGAAATCTAAGAGAAAAGGATGTTCAATAAAGTTGGCAGTTTCTCAGGGAGATGATAATAAAGATGTAACAGCAAACTATCTCAGTGAGAAGGAAAAATAGGAAAAATAATGAGTGGCCAATATGGCTCCATCAGGACCCTTTTAACAACCTAAAAACCAAAAGATGTCTTACAAAATGTAGAAACATGGGAAAATTGCCAAGGATATTTCAACAGAATAGCACAAGCACATAGGGACAAAATCAGAAAGGCTAAGACACAAAATGAGTTACACTTACCATGGACATAAACAACAACAAGAATGTGTTCTGTAAATACACTAAGGGCAGGACTACACTGGGAGAGAAAGTTGAATGAAGGAATGCAATTCCAGTTAGGTGAACAGTGTAACTGCAGTTGATGTACTTTAGCTCAACTCACCACAGCATCCCCATTGCAGGAGGTAGACAGGAGAAACTCTCTTGTTGACTTTCCTTGCCTCTCATGACCCACCCACCCACTGGAGTAGACAGTGGCTCCCTCAGTGGTTGATTCCATGCATGGAGCTCTGAGCCTCTGACTGGGCAAGGCTGATGAATCACCTGTGTAGCTGTGCTGCCACGCAGCTTAAAGGGAATACACTGGTCCTTACTACACCTACTAGGTTGAACCCCAGAAGATTGATCTCTGGACTGATGATTTCCAGGTATATATAGCCATACCCTATGAACAAGAAAAAGATGAAGGAAAGTGCAGGTCTTCTGCTTAGCAGGAGAAGAAGAAGAAGAAATTACATCAAGACTCTTGATGTATAATATCTATTTTGAGTCAATCCTCACTAAAAAGGTAAATTGTGACCAGATATTTAACATATTAAAATTAAGGGAGAAAGAACACAAGCCAAAAAATAAAAGAACAGCTGGAAGAGTAAGTTAGATATATTCAGATTGGTGGGGCCTGTGGAAGGGCATCCTAGCATACTTTGTTTCAGCTGGTTCTTTAATCTCAGAATTATTAGTGACTATCATTGAGAATTGATGGAGATGGGTGAGGTCCCCAAGAACTGGAGTAGGGCAAACATAATGTCCCCCATCTTTAAAAAGGAGAACAAAGGACTGTGGGAATTATAGACTTTATGACGCAAGTCAGAAAGCTTGAGTCTCTCACCAACAGAAGTTAGTTTCTCACCCACCTTTTCTTAACTACATTACATACAAGTCCTACATGACATTCTCATAAGCAGACTAGGGAAATATATTCTTCATGAAATTACCATAAAGAGAATGCATGACTGGTTGAAAGACTGTACGCAAAGAATAGTTATCACTGGTTCACTCTGAGACTGGCAGGATAGATTAGTGAGGGTTTGCAGGGAGTCTGTTGTGGATCCAGTGCAATTCAGTGTTTTAATATAAGACCTGGATAATGGAGTAGACAGTATGCTTATAACATTTGCAGGTAACACCAAACTGGAAGGGTTTGAAAGCACTTAGGAGGACAGAATTAGAATTCAAAAGAACCTAGATAAATTTGGAGAGTTGATCAGAACTCAGTAAGAAGAGATGTCAAAAACTTATCAGGAATGATATAGGTGTATTTGGTCCTGCCTTAGGACAAGAGGCTAGACCAGATTACTTTTCAAGGTCCATTCCCGCCCTGCATTTCTGTGTTTGCAAGGAGCTTTTTCAGAGCATTGGGACCACTGCAGGAGAAAGCATAAAGGCATATGCTGTACTTTTAAATCAGAATGGTAATAAGCAGTGAGAAATTCCTCGTGGTGTTAAGGCCAGTACTGATCTCTCTTTGCTTAATAGAAAAAAATATCTGCAGGCTACTGGTAGTGGTATAATTTTTCAGTTTATTAATTTTGCATATTATTATTTTCCCATTAAATACTGTTAATATGTAGACTGTATTCTAAAAGACTGGTTGAACTTTATAAACATTTTCATAATGTTATGCATAAAAGAAATCCATCACTACTTAATGCTTAGTTTACAAAACCTGGCCTCCTCTTTTATTCCTGTATGTTACTGGGGCTTGTAGACACCTAACTCACTGAGTGCACCTACATCTGTCTGCACGTTCTTATTTCCAGGTGAAATTGGGGGTGCAAGGGCCAAAATAAGTCCACTTTCTAATTCACAAGGTCTCTGGACATGCTGTACTTATTTACTTACGTAAATGGCTATGCTGACATCATAAAATATTTTATTTTTTTAGCTGATGCAAAGTTTATTTTGCTTTTAGGTTATCATCTGAAGACAGTGAGGAAGCTTCTGCTTACATTTATGATAGTGATGATTCTGATGAACCAGGAGTAACGTCTTATCACACTGGAGAAATGGACTTGCTAGGAGAGATTTTGGACTCGCTGAGCACACACAGCTCAGATCAAGGAAAGCTCTCAGGAGCAAAAAGCCTGGATTTCTTTAGATCAATGGATGATATTGATTACAAGGCTATGGTTAGTCTTCCTTTTCATATTGAAAAAAACTTGGTTACATTTAGAACAGAAACTTGCATTCATGGGTGGAAGCTGTGTATGTAGCCAGAAGAATGCGTCATATGGGCCAAACTATTCCTTGCTGCTGCTCAAAAAAAACAGAGTTCTAGCAAACTCATGCTGGTAGTCACAGTAGAAATGCTGATTAGCTGAGGATGTGAGGATGTATGGGTATGTCTATACTGCCACCCTAGTTTGAACTAGGGTGGCTAATGTAGGCATTCGAAGTTGCAAATGAAACCCAGGATTTAAATATCCCGGGCTTCATTTGCATCTTTCCGGGTGCTGCCATTTTTAAATCCCCATTAGTGCGGACTCCGTGCCCGCAGCTACACGCGGCACGGAGTAGGTAGTTCAAATTAGGCTCTCTAATTCGAACTACCATTACTCCTCGTGGAACGAGAGAGCCTAATTTGAACTACCTACTCCGTGCCACGTGTAGCCGCGGGCACGGAGTCCGCACTAACAGGGATTTAAAAATGGCCGCGCCCGGCAAGATGCAAATGAAGCCCGGGATATTTAAATCCCGGGTTTCATTTGCAACTTCGAATGCCTACATTAGCCACCCTAGTTCAAACTGGGGTGGCAGTGTAGACATACCCTATGACCTTTATCCAGCTTATCAGAAGCAATAACCATATCTAGGGCTAGTTAGGAATTAGGGATGTTAACAAGTAACCAGTTAACTGGTTACCCAGTAAGCATCACTCTTAGTGGATGATGCTTACCATGGTAATGGTTAATTGGTATCCAGGGAGCAGCCTGATGTGGGCGGATGGCTTCTCTAGTCCTTCATGTGGGGCTGCTGCTTAGAGGCAACTGGACTGGAGCAACCCTGACCATGGTGTGCAGGAGAGCTACTCCAGCCCAGTTGGGCTGTAGTGCCGCCCCACACCCCTGTTTAATCAGTTTACCAGTTAAACTGAACATTTAACCAGTTAACTAATTAAATGGGATTTTACACCCCTATTAGGAATCCTACCTTGCTGCAGGACAGGCTTTTTGTGTTTGCTCCCGCTGTCCCCCAGGCAGGAATTTGTCTCAGTTATATGTTCTAGAGGCTGCTAATATTAATTCATTGCTTTAGAAACCATTTCTTGTTCATTGTAGCAGCTTAAAGCCCCATTTTACAAATGGGTGTGCCCACTCAAGCCCTCCAATTCAGTTCTCAGTCTCATGGGACCCCGAGCACAGATAGATTATTTTGCAGGGTCAAAGCTGCTGCTTGAATCTTTGAAATCTTCAACAAATCAGCTCCCTGGTGTTGGTTGTCACTGTCAAAAGACTTTATATCCATACATTCTAACTCCTGTGTTTGATGCTTAAGATTTACAGTTGTTAAAAGTACTCCCACGTGAGATCCTTTGCTGCAAAAGGTTAACTCTGTTGCTAACTTTTATAATCCATATCAACCCTGGTGTTCTAAGCACCACATGAGGGTTGCATTAATGTCACCCAGAAATGAGTGATAGGGGAGGGATCATGTGAGGATTACCTGTTGTGTTTCCTCCCTCTGGGGCATCTGGTTCTGGCCACTGTCAGCAGACAAGACACTGGGCTGGATGGACCGTTGGTCTGACCTAGTATGGACGTTTTTATGTTCTGAATAAAATGTCAGTTTTGTTTGCGAACTGAAAAGTGAATAATAAATGTGTGTGTGTAACTAATTGTTGTAATGAAGAGCAGAAATCCCAATGATCATGGGTGAGACAAGGTGAGTGTGGTGATCTTTATTGCATCATTCTCTGAACTTAAACAGAGTTCTTCTTCAGATCTGAGAGAAGCACTCTGACTGGCACATCTAAATGCAAAATGGAAGTAGATATACCCTGGTGGAGGGCGACCTGTGACTGCACACCTCTAGCTGTTAGCTCTCACTCCATACTGGAAACCACAAGGGATATCATTAAACACTTACAGTCCATTCTCAATGGGGACCACATCCTGAATTAACTCTTTACCAAACTCCTTCTTCTGGCCTTCAAACAATCACCCAAGATCACCAAAAAAAAACCCACATCATCATCAAAAGTAAGCTCCTCATACACCAAACATGCCAACTCAAAGTGGCAGGAGACCCTGCCAGAACAACAGGTGCAAAACCTGCAGATAATGGTCAATATCCCCCACAACATAGCTTTTAAGAACTCTGTGTACTGCATGTGTCTATCACAACATGTGGCGTATCTCATCCAGTGCACTAAGTGCCTCAAAAACAAATATGAGGGTGAAACTAGACAGTCACTATGCTTTCAAATGCACTCTCTCAGAACACAGATAAAAGATAAAACTCCCTTTCGCCTGTGGGCAAACACTTTTCTCAGCGTGATTGCTCTGTGTATGACCCATCAGTTTTCCTTCTCAAAGGAAATCTGCGCAACACTTTCAACCATTTAGCCCAGGGTCCTAAAGTCATAACTATGTTAGACACTAAAAAGCATGGTTTTATATAAACACTGGATTTGTGGCTTATTAGAACAATCCCACTAATTCCCCTTTTAGTCCTATGGCTGGAGAAGTTTAACTGACCACTTCCCCTTGAAAGGTCTCTTATGATGTGTTTTAACTGCTTACATTCCATCTTGCACTTAGCTGTGACCCTGGTCGTACCTTTCCATGACCTGGAGAAGAAGTCTTTGTAGCTTAAAAGCTTGTCTCTTTCACCAACAGAAATTGGTCCTCTTTGTCTCTCTGTTATCATGGGACCCACACTGCGAACAATGGTCATGAGTCTGAGTCAAAATTTCATATGTCATTATAGTGCAAAATTCCCACTGCAGTTGGCACAAGCTATAATTTCTTTGACTGTTACAGCTGTGTGGTTAAGGCTTGACTGGGCAATGGAGACTGAGCACCTATGCCATTCCTAGACGCAATCTTTACATGTCAGGGTGAAGCAGTAACAAAAAGCTTGCATTGCAGTTTTCCTGCAAGGTTATATAGTATCTAGGGAAATTCAGGAGTGTGTCCTTTCACGAGCATGGAATTTTTGTCAGGGATACCAGTACATGGGTGCTTCTTGTGATATAAACTATAATAAAACATGGGTTTTGTTTTCTTGGTTTTTTTTGTTTCAGAACAAGTCCAGTGCACCTAGTGAGAGCAACCTTGCTCTGCTCTGTAGTGGCACTAATGATCAAATGGAGTGGAATCTTGGTCAGGATGATAGTGTTCTCCATGGGAAACAGCTCCCTCCATCGCCAAGGAAGCAAGTTGCTTTTAGTGACCATATGGAATCTGTCTCTGTGCTGGAGGAGGAAAACAAGGACAAAGCTCTTAGTGCAGAGCATGAGGATTGCCTTCAAGATTTTCTGACGTCAGCTTCTCCAGCACACTTAAGTGCACAAGCTGCCCCTCTAGAATTTTCCCAAGTAGATGACTCTTTCTATAGGAAGGTAAAAGCAAATGAAACACTAAGCAATACCTCAGAGGATCAGCTCCCAGTGAACCTTTGTCAACATCCATCCATTCTAGTTCCTTGGCAAAAAGAAGGAGATGAAGGAAATGAAAGCCAAGAAGAAGGGCTTTTTCATGAAGTTGTGGCATTATGTAAAGTGACCTCAGCTTTCCACCACAGTTTAAACATTTCAGAGGATAATTGCTCCAGTAGTAGCAGTGGAAATCAAGCATAAGGGAACCTTAAGAGGAGAAACTACTTCCATGAGAGGTGAATGAGAGACTACTCAGGAGTCCACATAATACACGATTACCAAAAATATCACAGAGGAATTTAAAATAATTTAAATACTTTTACATTTAAAATAATCTGTTTTGTTTAGTACATGGATTTCTGCTCCTACCCTCCACCCCCATTTAGACAGCTCTTATATGTTTCTCAGTTCATTTGTTGGCTGTGTTTAAATCACCAGATGGAACTATATATACTAATGCACTCTTAAATCAGGTACTAGTTTGTCTGTATGTGGAATATACAGTTGGTGCATGGTGCTTACTTGTGTTCCTTTATGCAGCAAGGAAGCATATCACCTTTGCACATATCCAGATATTGAAGGTACTGTATTATTCCTGTTGAGCATGAAATGAACAAAACAGTTTAGATTTGTCCGAAGCTTACAAATATTGATGTTTGAAATGAGTTAATTGCCTTAATCGCCTGGGAAAAGGTTTGAATATCTAAGAAGATGAGTTTGGAAACATTCAAAAGAGCAATAATGATTTTCTGCTTGAGTAAAGGGGAAAAGGAACTCTTTCTAAATTAAGGGATCTCTTGTGAATAATAGGGAATTTTGATATAAACAGAAACTATGGCCATGTCTCTCAGACCTTAAAAAAGGTGGTGCATGCTTTTCTCTTATGAAGTGCTGAATTATAATGTGAAGTTACTTAACTTCTGTTTACATCTCAGGCACCTGATGTAGGTGTTTTCATCTAGGAATGGAAAGTATATGTGAAATTGATCGATTTTATTGCTATTTTTTAAATTTCTACAGTTTAATAATTCTTTACCGAAATTTATGCCATTGCTTGAACATTACATTTGATTTTTACAAGCCACTTTTAAAAGAAACATTAAATTTTTGCTTTGCTATTGAGGAGTTTAGTTTAGTGAAGCTGTCTAGTATTTTAAAGACCAGTGAATGAAGATTACTTATAAAACTAGACATAAAAAATAATTGGTTCTGCAATTAAGTATGCAGATACCACACTCTCATGTTAGCCATGGATGTATACCAGAGTGTTTTTTGTGATTACAAGGAAGGGAATTAAATGGATGCTGAATGTACTGACTGTATTCAGGCATAAACATTTCTTTTCAAGCATGTAGCATTCCTGGAAGATATGTCTGTATTTAAATGTCAAGAACTAGATTTTTCTCTCTGAGTGGAACACATATATTCAGTCTCCTCGTCCTGTCCCCTTTGTCCACTACCCTCTGTGGCTCAGAATGAGTACATTCCAGAGGGAACCACGCTAGGCCAAAAATGGCAATTTTGAATGTAGGCTATTGGCAAGTGTTACACAAGGCAGAGTGACAGAATTTGT